AGAGAGAGGGAGACACAGAATCGGAAACAGGCTCCAGGCTCCGAGCCATCAGCCCAGAGCCTGACGCGGGGCTCGAACTCATGGACCGCGAGATCGTGACCTGGCTGAAGTTGGACGCTTAACCGACTGCGCCACCCAGGCGCCCCTATCTATGTGATATTTAAACAGTGTTTGAGGACTCTTAATCATAAAGCTGAATGAGGGATTGAAGGAGCTGGGCAGGATAGGGGCTCTTGTATGAAAACACAGGGATATGAGTGAGGTGTTAGTATAGTTTTTATGGATCACTTTTAGAAATGATTTTTATTTGAATAAGTTGGCAGGCAAAAAAAAAAAATTCTTTCAAGGGTTCAAAAAAGCTTGGGGACCAAAACTATGTTAGTATTTTTGACAATGATGAAGTGAAGAGTTTGGAGAGGAGAGATTGGGAGGAAAGATAATGAGGTCAAGTTTTCAATTTTGTGTTTCAGATGTTAGAAGGATATCTAAACAAAGAGCCATCTTATAGGTGACTGCAGATACAGGACTGAAGAAAACAGATAAACTTGCTAAAGCTAATTTATAAAAATGTTCATATATCTAAGTGAAGCTATTCAAAACAAGACTGAAGCTTGAGATAAGGAGGGTTAGTTAGGTCTGAGACTGAGAAATAAAAATTACGATGAAAAACACCATTTCCAGTCCCCCAGTTCCTACTGACAAGGGAAGATTGTTGTGATCTTAGTAAACAGAAAAGGGCAAGTAAAACTCAAAAATTCATAATTTTTGGCCTGTAGCTATTACTCACAGATGACTTATAATTACATATAGTTTTAATAAAACAAAAAAAGAGTTCTTTATATTTGCTATCAATAAACTATCCATTTTATAGGATAAGTATGGCAAATATTAATGCAGATTTACAGTTAAAATGGCAGGTAAGAGATTATGGTTTTCACTTTGCATTTTAATCGAGAAATGCATACTAAATTTAAGCTTATGATGTTTGTGCATGTTTAGCTGGCTAAGAACTTATGCCAATTGCAACAGAATTTTATAGGAAAATTTTTAAAGAATGTTTAGATTTTCATAAATTGGTATTTGTCCTTATTTTAGCTTTGTGAATATGTCACAGCATGAAGAAAATAACAATTGTAGAACAGGGGCCAATAAAAATGAAACCAGTTTCTTTCCATATCTACATTCTAAAAGCCTATTTGGTTGGCTAGATGAATTCACCAAGTACTCATACAAAAATATAAAATAGTCCTTTGTTATTTTTTAAATTTTTTAATGTTTATTTTTGAGACAGGAGAGACAGAGCATAGCAGGGGAGGGGCAGAGAGAGAGGGAGACACAGAATCTGAAGCAGGCTCCATGCTCTGAGCTGTTAGTACAGACCCTGACGTGCGGCTCGAACTCACAAGCTGTGAGATCATGACCTGGGCCAAAGTCGGACGCTCAACCAACTAAGCCACCCAGGTACCCCAGTCCTTTGTTATCTTTTAAGGATGAGTGAACATTTTTACTATCAAAGATAACCACTTCTGAAGTTATCATTATAAAGGAACAATCTGTTTAACTATTTCAACTTTTTGTGGATGTTACACATCCACAATCTGATTTTATCCTGAGTAATATGCACAGTATATATTATTTATAGCAGTTAGTATTAGACAATGATTTTAACAATACATTGTTTTTAGGCCGAGTACAGACTTGTTTAAACCTTTCCTTATGGTTATTACGCATTTGATTACATTTAAAAGTAATTATTCCTTATGACACATAGTAAGGCATATGTTGCCATGTAATTTGTTACATATTGTCATGTCACCCTCTGTAATCTGTGAATAATACTATTGCAGATACTTATTTTGTAGTGATCAATACATAAAGAGAACAGTAAAAACCCCTTAAAACTAATGAATGTAGACAGCCACATAGCTCGTCTGTATCCTTCCCCTCTCTTATTGCTGAGGGAGTTATAAGTGAACTTGGAGATTCCAGAGCAGTTAAGTTTATTGTGCATAAGTACCACTTAGAACTTAAACAAACAAACAAACAACAACAAAAAAGGAAAACAATCACGGTCCCAGCTCTTATGACATTCAGGTTCATGAGGTCTGTATGCCACTCTGAGGAGCAGTTTTTGGGAATGTAAGTTCAGAAGTTAAAGAATAAAAGAAGTTGTACAGAATCCAACAGGCCACTGTCACAGCATCAATTCTCCCAACACTACCAACATTTTTGATGGGGTATCAAACTCTCCCTTATCCAATCCATGTATTGGGAGAAGCTGGCCTCATTAACTCCAGAGCAGGCCTCTGGTTGGCTTAAACCCTGAAACAGTCATTCATTCAGGAATGGCTTTGCAATCTAAGTGCTTTCTTTTCCCTGAATGTGAATGAGGGACAGTAAGTTCCTTATGGCTACGGGCAGCCACTGAAGACTATGAGAAAAACCATGCCCCTGACAACTTCATTGAGCTTCTGAATCACAGAATCCTGAAGCCTGCTTACCTTCAGGCATCTCCCTCAGAGGATTTACACTTGATTGCACCAGTCTGAGTTGGTTTTCCTGGTACTTGCAACATAATGAGCTGTGACACAAAAGTGTCTTAGGTACAGACTCCCAGGTTGGTTGATCTGTTGTGAAAGTGACTCTATTGTCCCCCAGGATTTTTTACTTCATCTTTTATACTACTCGAAATGTCATTTTGGTAAAAGAGCACTTACTTGCTTTTAAAAATGTATACACCTCTGAGGGGATTACAGAACCCGTAGATACTTGCCTTTGGTATGAATCTTCCCAAGCAAATAGTTTTTCTCCTAATGCCACTAAGGTCAGCTACCCTGTGTATATGGGAGTTATGATGTGTGTCAGACATGGAGGCACGAGTCAGAGGGAGAGTGTATTGTAGAGAACGGGGCAGTTTTAGGTGAGGTCCTACAGAAAGGGGCACCGAGTAGCAAGAAGGCAGCAAAGGGTTTTCTTAAAGCTGATCAAAGAAGGATGAAGAAAGGGAAGAATACAACAAAATCAATGTGTTTCTATTCTTCCCTTCTTTGTCCCAAACTTTTAAGTTTAGCCCAGCATCATAAGTACTTGCTGCCAGGTGAATTTGCTTCTAGACCCCCAATCCCAGCAATATTATAGGTTAAACAGATTTTTTATAGGCTCGTTTAGAAACTCAACCCACAACTTATAAATAATAATCCCTTCTTAAAAACATCAGCTGTTCCTACTGCTGTGGAATAAGACCCACCAGGACCTGGCCTCTTTAGCCACATACTCCATTCTTGAGTCTTACTCAAGTCACACTTAAGTTCATGGTTCCTTCTAAGCTCACCAGTGCCGCCATGCCTCCTCTTACTTAAATGGCAGTCCTTTTAGAAAATATTCCAGAAGTCCAGGTGGAATAAATCATTCCTTTTTGTAAAATAGGTTTTATCTTTATCATGACCTTTTATTTGTTTGGCTATGTAAAATGTCATGACTATAAAATTTTTGCTTGCTTGTTATATTCTAAACAACTTTCTTAAAACCAAAACAGTAACCTATTAGTACCATAACCACCCCCCATAATTCCTTAAACATAGTATTTAATTCATACGTATTGATTATCAAATAAATTTTATGTAAAATATTAAATTCCATGAATGAACCTGAATTCTTAAAAAACCCTTCAAACTTTTGGAGTATAACTTGCCAATCAACATTTAAGAGATTCAGATAAGCATATATATGATGATGTTCTAAGGAAATCAGTATTTTAAGTTTTATAGCATGCTTACAATCTAAAGTAAGTGAAAGTGATGACAGGATTGATTTAGCTTTTAAGTTAAATTAGAATTAGTATTGCTGTTTCATGTAGTGGTATGTTTATTAAAATTCATATACTACTCAAATCTGGGGTCCCTATTTCCTTTAAAAATATAATGCAATTACATTTTTGTAATATTAATTTTGCTTCCTCCTTGGAAGGAAACCTGCTTATCTGTAAATTATATTCAAATCTGATTATAATGTCAATTGCAGATGGCTTAATAAAGAAAAACAATCATATGCCAAATTTAATCTGACTCTTTGTGGAGCCTTTTGTAATTTCACTTAAGAAACTGCACTTCCAAGGGCACGTGGGTAGCTCAATTAAGCGCTGGACTTCGGCCCAGGTCGTGATCTTACGCTTGTTGAGTTTGAGCCCCACGTTGGGCTCTGTGGTGATAGCTCAGAGCCTGGAGCCTGCTTCAGATTCTGTGTCTCCCTTTCTCTCTCTGCCCCTCCCCTGCTCACACTCTCTTTCTCTCTCAAAAATAAACATTAAAAAATAAAAATAAAAAAATAAAAAAAAGAAATTGCACTTCTATCCTTACAACTTGAAAGAAAAAATTAGATCTATATTGAAAAAATATTATGGGGTGCCTGGGTGGCTCAGTTGGTTAAGTGCCTGACTCTTGATTTCAGTTCAGGTCATGATCTCAGGGTTTGTGAGTTTGAGCCCCATGTTGGGTTCTGCATTGACAGCATGGAGCCTACTTGGAATTCTCTCTCTGCCCCTCCGCTGCTCGTGCTCTTTCTCAAAATAAATAAACTTTAAAGAAAAAAAGATAAATATTCTATTACTAATAGCTATAACAGTATGAGACTGAAATAAAACTGATGAATGACTAATTTTCTAGTGGGAAAAGAAAATACAAGACACTCAAAAGAAAACAACCTCACTTTTAAGAGCACTAAAAATAAAGAAGGTTGACACAGAAAAGGGAGAATCAGATGCAGTGTTTATAGAAATTAGGCTTTTGAGTTGCATAAAAACAACTTCTTTATAAAAGTTACAGTGAAAAAAAAAAAAAAGTTACAGTGAACACTGGCAGCTTCCTAGTTCATCTCATCGCTATTCATCATCTACCAGGAAGACATCTTTGAAATTTCTCAGCCATGTAGGTGACACTTCTGCTAGGCTTCCATAATGACTGAATATTGTCATATTTACAACACTGCATTATAATAATAATAACAGTAGTAGTAGTAATAATAATAGTAATAATAGCAGTAATAGTAATAATAGTAATAGTAATAATAGTAGTAATAATAATAATAGTAGTAGTAATATGATGATGATGATGATGATGATGACAGAAGCCTCCCTAATGTCCTCTGCCTCTACCTGTGTCCCACTCTAGCCAAAATGACCTCGTGACTGATAATGTGACCACTCTGGTCAAAATCCTCCACTGGTTTCTCACTTTACATGGAGTGAAAGTCACAGTATGGCCTATAATGCCCTACGTATACCACTCACAGACCCCCTTTACCATTAACTACTTGACTTCATCTATTATTTTTCCCATTGCTCACACAACCCCATATTGGCCTCCTTGTTCATTAAATTTAACAAGCATGTTTTTGCACACCTACTGCTTCCTCTTCTTGGAACACTGTTCTCCCCATATTCACCTCCTTTGGGTCTCTGTTCCATTGTCACCTGATTTCCCTGTATGAAATAGTACTAGCTGTCTCTACCCGCAATGACAGCCTATTCCTGTTACCCAGTTTTATTTTTTCTCCACTGTACTTATCACTCTCTAAGATATACTGATATAGATTATATCGAATATAAGATACATTTGCTTTTAGTATCTCTTTTTCTACTGAATGTAAGCTCCACAGAGGCAAGAACTTTTTGTACAGCGTTATATATCCTGAGTGCCTGGCATACAGTTAAATACATTCTTGCCAAATCAATGAATAATCTGTTAAATATATAGTTCACACTTAAAATATTTTGAATCCTGAGATACTGTGTAGTTATAATCTTTGGAACACGGTAAATACTAAATAAATGTTTTTAAATTAGAAGATAAAGACAGTCAAATCTTGCATTGCCAAGTGCATTAAAATGAGACATAAAAATAAGTATCCACAGAATTACATTTTAGCACATACCTGTTTAAATTCTGAATCTTTTCCCAACATAACTTGAAGACTGTAAATAACTGGATCACCTTTCATTGGCTGTAAACACTCCCATGTAAGTTCACAAATGTGATCATTTACTTTCTCTATTTTGGGAGCTGTAGAGAACAAATACAAATAAAATCTACTCTACTTGATTTTTAATTTGGCACATCACACAGACACTTGTTTTAATCAAAATCAACAAACATTTAAAACCCAGTTATATACTTGAAATAAATATCAATGAATTTTTGAAATTTGCAGAGAAATGGTTAATGTTCCATTCTTATTATCTCCAGGCCATATAATCTACGGGTGCCACAATGGCCAGACTGACTAAAGGATCTGTCAAGGGAAGCACTGTTTTCATTGAGCTAAAAGGCCAATAGAAACAACGTCAATGATGCTTCTAAGGGCATAACTAGAACATGACATTTTGTAATTTAAGAAATCTCCTAAGAGGGTAAGTTGAAAAATACTCCTAGCTGCTTGACATAAGACTGTTTCACTCCATGTTGGGATATAGAGGGTTAAAATCAGCACTCTTCTTAAGGTTAGTACATACTAAACTGGATGAGAGAACAGAAAAATGACTCAGTAAAACTCCATCAACATTATTAGAAAGTTTGTCAAGAACAGTCCTGCTAACTATGGATCTGCTTAATAAATGACATATTTCAAGTACATGATCCAGGAAACTGTACTAGAAATCTGTGTGAGTTGTCCTCTGTGTGAGGAATGTTAGCGATTTTGGCTAAATACACAAAGTGTAATCCTTGCCAGGGTCATTTTATTTTTTAAAGGTTTATTTTGAGAGAGAGAGAGAGACAGAGAATATGAATGAGCAAGCAGGGGAGGGGCAGACAGAGGGAGAGAGAAAACCATGCAGGCTCCATGCTGTCAGTGCAGAGCCGGAGAATGGGCTTGATCCCACAAATGGTGAGATCGTGACCTGAGCTGAAATCGAGTTGGATGCTCAACTGACGGAGCCACCCAGACGCCCCAGTCAGGGTCGTTTTAAAATAAGAACCCTTCTAGGGGTGCCTGGGTGGCTTAGTCAGTTGAGTGTCTGACTCTTGATTTCAGCTCAGGGATCATAGGATCAACCACCCTGATGAACTCTGCACTGAGTGTGGAACCTGCTTAAGATCTTCTCCCCTGCTCGCTCGCTCTCTCTCAAAAAAAAACAAACAAAAAAAAACCCATCTAAAAATTAATTTTAAAGATATTTGTACATACAACTGAAAGTGTGTAAATTAAGATTTAAAAGTTCAAGTTAACTAGGGGCACCTGGGTGGCTCAGTCAGTTGAGTGTCCGACTTCAGGTCAGGTCGTGATCTTGCAGTTTATGGGTTCAAACTCTGTATCGAGCTCTGTGCCAACAGCTTGGAGCCTGCTTCAGATTCTGTGTTTCCCTCTCACTCTTTACCCTTCTCCTGCTTGTGCTGTCTCTCTCTCAAAAATGAATAAGCATTAAAAAAATAATTCAATTTAACTAAGAATGTATTTATGTTGTGCTTAACAGACAACCTGGCTCTCTCCCCGAAATATGAATGAATGAAACAGTAACAACTCAAAACAATTTGAGTTTGTGATTTTTTTTTCTTTAAAAAATTTTTGTTTTAATATTTTTATTTGAGAGAGAGAGAGAAAGAGACAGTGCACAAGTGGTAGAGGGGCAGAGAGAGAAGGAGACACAGAATCTGAAGTAGGCTCTAGGCTGCAAGTTGCTGGCACAGAGCCTGATGCGGGGCTTGAACTCACGAGTTGTGAGATCTCGACCAGAGCTGAAGTCGGACACTTACCCGACTCGACTGAGCCACCCAGGTGCCCCTGTGACTTTTTTCCTTAGTAACAACAGCAGAAACATTAAATGACCCTATTAGAAAACCAGTATATCTATTCAGTTTAGTATTTTTATGCTAGATTATTAAAAATAGTGACAAAACCCAGTGCTCATCTGAGTATCAATGTGCTAGATAAAAGAGCTTCTATTTTGAGTAAAACTCTCAGTAGATAGGCTTGTCTATATAATTTCTTTTTTATAATTTATGTTGGACACATATTGGACAATAAATTGTAATAATAGCACATAAAATTGTTTATGAACATCCATTTAAAATTTATTACTAAAAAAAATAATGATGTATAACTTACCTTTCAAGGCAGCTGGGACAGATTTTGGAGTAGTAAAAATATATTCTTGAGAGAGAGGACCTTCCCCTGCTTCATTACAAGCTTGAATACAGAATTTATAGGATGTTGACTCATTAAGTCTTTGTACTTTGTATGTATGACATGGACCTCTATATAAGGATACAAACCTAAAATGGAAAGGACTCTTATTAAAAATAAACCTTGACTACACTACAAAAAATTTTTAAAAACTACTAAAAAAGTAGAGCTGGGACACTATTCAGAAGTATAAATTGCTCCTAGACATTAATGTCACTCCAAATAAATATTTTTTTCATCAAATGATGAAAATCATAGGATTGGTAAATTTCCTAATTTTGACATGGTTTCCTGAAAATTTATTGTTAAGTTTTGTATCCAATCATTGTTAACTTTTCAGGCTTCTGGTACAGTTTCGTTTCTGATTGCCATTTTTTAAAGATACATTTTTAGGGGCACCTGGGTGGCGCAGTCGGTTAAGCGTCCGACTTCAGCCAGGTCACGATCTCGTGGTCCGTGAGTTCGAGCCCCGCGTCAGGCTCTGGGCTGATGGCTCAGAGCCTGGAGCCTGTTTCCGATTCTGTGTCTCTCTCTCTCTCTGCCCCTCCCCTGTTCATGCTCTGTCTCTCTCTGTCCCAAAAATGAATAAACGTTGAAAAAAAAAATTTAAAGATACATTTTTAAAGATACTCAGAACACGACAATTTTCATTATAGTCTTAGGCATATAATTTATTATAAAAAAGAAAATCTTCAATTTCCAGGTATAATTTTAGATGACTGGTGATGTTTTCTAGAGATTTACATAGCAGTATGAAAGAATATAAAATTAGCCATAAATTATCCACCTGAACTGTTTGATGGGAAAGTTTAACATCATATATGTCACCTATAAGTTCAATGTTCCCCAATATTTTTGATTGGCTGTTTGAAAATTTTTGGAAATTGGGGAATGAATAATGGAATGCTCACATAGTTCTAAAGAGTCTGAAAACTGCAGTCAAGGTTAAAAATGAAGAAATAGTTAATGACCTGAAGTAACAGTATTTCTAAGAAGCAGTAATTAGATAAGCCTGGCCTTTTTAGTCTCCCAATTTTTTTTTAAAGGGTAGGGGAAAAAAAAAGAGTTGCAACCACTATTGGAAAAGTGAAACAATGATAAAACCTGTAGTCAGGAAACAGCTGAAATAGCATTCTGATATTATCCCACAGCAAATGTAAGTAGTTGTGAGAAATCAAAGGTAAAGAGTATAACTAAAGATATTAAATTGATTTAATTTATTAAATTTATATAGTAAACTTACAACACCATAAAAGGTTTCTTAAATATATTTTCCACAGCCAGCAGCCATATTCACACCCTACAACTCTCCAGATGCTAAATATTAACTAAGCTTAACATTCTGTAATAGAATACAGCCTAATAATAATGGAAATCTTTATTCTACTCCATTTCCAACAAACATTAATTAGATCCATTTCCAGGAAACCTTCTTGCATCACCCTAATGCAATGTAAATGCTAGAAAGGGGATGAAACTAATTTAAAGAATTCACCCAATGATAATAACATACATTAAAGATAAATGGCTACACAGAAAATCTGTGGCAAAGAACCTCCTTCTAGAGATAGGGCTTTACAAATGTACATAAAATTCTGCCAAGAACAAAGGCTGACTAACATTCATAGAGGCACAGAAAATGATCAGTACTGTTTGCTCTGTGTAATGCTCTTACTGGATATATAGTATGTTTAATTCTGTATGTTATTTTATTTTATTAAAAAAAAAATTTTTTTTAACGTTTATTTACTTTTGAGACAGAGAGAGACAGAGCATGAACAGGGGAGGGTCAGAGAGAGAGAGGGAGACACAGAATCCGAAGCAGGCTCCAGGCTCCGAGCTGTCAGCACAGAGCCTGACGCGGGGCTCGAACTCACGAACCGTGAGATCCCGAAGTCGGATGCTTAACCGACTGAGCCACCCAGGCGCCTCTCTGTATGTTATTTTAAATGTAGAAGTCTTTCTGAGAGTACTTATGTACAATTACCATGAATATTCCATTACTGAATGTCTGATTAAGATACAAACACGTACAATACAAAAAACAAAGTGGGAAAACCTTGGGAAAAACTACTTCTAGTACTCTGAATCCATCAGGTATGCGAATTGTTTCTTATAAACTGAGTGAAAAGCAAAATTTGAATTCTTAAAATATTACAGTAACACTTGTAGGGAGGATATATGGCATTATTTACATCGGATATAATGTCAGTAAACAGCCTCAGATTTGCATTTGAATAATTTATACTACAAATATTTTGAGTAACATTATAATTCAAATGCATGATTTAGTAGGACAGTATATGGCATGGATATAATGAAAATATAAAGGATGGCAGCATAGACAAGAACCTGAGTAGCGAGGGGACAGGCTAATAATCTGAGTCTAACCAAGATCTGACACTGAGGAAATGAACTGTACTGACTCAGTGTGAAGGTCCTGTGACGGGTGCGGAAGAAAGTGAGACATAACCTGTGCCCGCAAAGATCTCAGAGGCCTTACACCAATTAATCATGTACTGTTAAAACTGCCTCTGCTGGAAATAAGTGTTGAAGAGCTGGTTTTGTAGCAAAGATTATGTTTCTTTTACATGAAAGAGTAAATGGGTTAGAGAGCCAAAGAATAGCCAATTTAATTTTTCTCTCAGCATCCCGCTCACAAGCTACAAACGGGAAATCTTCATTATATCTTCTGGTGTTTTGAAAATAGCACACTTAAAATTATCTCTTATGAAAATTCTAACCTTGTTTTTGAAAATTTATTTTGTTTACCTCTACTTTTTATTGAAGTTTATACACTTAAGACCTAAGAAACTATATGAAGAACCAATTACAAACACCTACCTTCCATTCTTGTCCTCCATCTGAAGGTGGTACTGAATAGAATCTGTTGACAGTGATTTTGGGGTTCCTTCTCCCCACTTCAGCTTAAGGTTCTGGTGGCTGAAGGCAACACATTCCAGACGAGGTGGGTCAGGAGGGAGGGGCTTAGTTTTTAATTTTATCATGTGGCTGAAAGGACCAGCTCCAAGGCTATTCAAGGCTTGAATCCGTATTCTAAGTGCCACATTAAGGAAAAAAAAATTCGGTTATGATTATTCTATTTAGAGTTTCTCTCTGGTCTAGGCAAAAATTAACATAGTTTTTAGAGTGTACCTGTATGTTGTATCTGGTTGCAAATTGTCTATAATATAGCTTGTAACCTTTCCCACTGCCAAGGGCTGTTTATCTCCAAAGTCGATGCTGTAGGCAAGGATTTCTGAACCATGGTCACAAGGCTTTTCCCAGCTTATTGCAAGGCATGTAGAAGGTGAATAATGAGGATTTTCTATATCATCATCACTTATTTCTTGAAGACAAGTCACAACAGCAGGAACTGATGGTGGAGTCACACAGGCTACTACTTCACTGAAAGGGCCTGCACCCACAACACTCAGAGCCTACAAATTAACAGAGCCCGTAAGTTAAAAAAACATGACCATCAAAATGCTCACAGAACACAAAAATCTGGCTAGAGTAACAAAGCCCGGACCACCTTTACCTGGACTCTGCAATAATAGGTGGTTGCTGGTGAAAGTCCTTTTAATTCATAACTGAGACCAGGCCCACAGTAACACATCTGCATACTTCCTTCAACGCCTCCCCACTCCAATCGATATTCAGTGACATCTGTTCCGTTACTCAAAGGGATCTTTAAATTAAAAAGAGGAAAAGGTCTTAAGTCTTGACACTGATTAGTTTTTAGGCACAAATGTTCTTTACCTGCACATATCAAACTGAATTGCTTTTGAATTTCTTTGAAATGTTCAAGTGGGATTAAAACTGTTTAATATTACATTTTTATTCATTAAGGTCACCTGAATTTAAGACTGATAAAAAAATATAACTTTGTTTTCAATTATAAGTAGAAATATGACTAAATCACTTTAGAAAGAGAATTTTAAGGTAAATATACTTCAATATAATTCTATTAAGTAATATAAATGTTAAATCATGTAAGGACATTTTCTTTGTTAAATTTCAAAGGAAACTGAAAATTTAATTATCATTACTGATTATTACTGTACATAATAAAACACAGTGGAAATAATAAATACAAGAGAAATAGTATTATACTAATCCCTATGAATGTTTGTTCTGAACATTAAGCTCACCAGTGGCTAAGTATCTTGGTAATGAGACAAACAAAGCCTTTGAAAAAATACAAAGCACATCATGAACAAGAAACCATATACTTGTAATGCAAATATACCTTACTTAAATGCTTCAAAGCAAAAATTTTACTTTATAACACATGAACTTAAGTAGGCCTTACTGTTTGCATGATTTAGGAGGTTAAATGAATAGTATCTCGGGGCCCCTGGGTGGCTCAGTCAGCTCAGATCATGATCTCATGGTTTGTGGGTTCTAGCCCCGCATTGGGCTCTGCACTGACAATGAGGAGCCTGCTTGGGATTCTCTCTCCTTCTCAAAATAAATGAATAAACTTAAAAAAAAATGAATAGTATCTCTATTCTTTTATATGAACTATTCTAATTACTTAAGAGAGTAAGTCAATGGGAATTACAGTACCTCCCAATTCACTTGTGCACAAGTTGCAGATCTGCATGTAACTTGAGGGGGCTTGCACTGATCTGGTGGTCCAGGGGCTGTAGTAATATCACATTTTTCTGAAAATGGTCCAAACTAGAAAAACAAACATAACCAGCATTTTCATTTTTCACCCACAGATTGCACAGCTCTCCATAAATATTCACATACATAAATAAGTGCATAATCCTTCTCCTTCAAGACTGACTGGTCATAATAGAACTCTAAAAGCATTCATAGAAAGGAAAAAGATTTAATGATTATGGAAGTTACTATGTCAGGTATTTTTAAGTTTCATTTACTGTACTTTTTTCTCTTGTTCCTTTTCCTTTTTCCTTCATGACTGATTTTGTAAGAAGGGCAGGGCATTAGGGAATTAGGTACATGGAATAAGTCAGGAGAAATTATATGAGGAGTGAAGGAAAGGATACCAATTAAAGGCATGAAAAATGGTAGGCATAAATTATATCTTAAAATTTAGAATAGCTTTAAAAAGGGTATAAAATGTATACTCTCTGGAAGTGCAGAAAGCAAATTATTTACAATGATTGTCACAAATTATCAGAATCCTGAAAATACAGATTAAGTAAGTATTAAAGATGCTATCCCAGTGTACTGCAGCCTTGTGGGGCTGACAAGATGATAACTTCAGACAGAACACTATGACTTATGTAAGAACTGCCAAAAAGGACTGACATAAGAAATTTTAAGATAAATTTACAGATACAGATACTGACCTTAGTTGGAGAATGGGACATAAAATAGTAAAGTTCACTAACATATGAAGTAATGGGAGGGGAGAGACTTGGCAGTTTAATTTTGTGAAATTATAGAGTAAGGAAACATAATGTTATTCAACTAAGACAAGAAATTACTGCTTTGTCCTGAGAGAATCTGTTTTAATGCAGAGATGAGAAATGTCCTGGTTGAGTGGAAAGGGCTTTGGCTCTGGAGTCTGACAGCCCTGAATCTGTGGCTTATCTCTGTCACTTCTTATTTGGGTGACTGTGGACAAGATGTTTAGTTTTTCTGAGCCCCAGCCTCCTCAGCTGTACAATGGAGATATCACCTGTTTTGTCCATTTTATGGAACTGTACAGATACACAGAGAATACTTTTTAAAAAGTCACATAAAGCCAGAAATGCTTAAAATATAAGTTATCTTTTCCTTAGGCAAAAAATGAATCACAATTAGTAGCCAAATAAAATAAATGCTGTATATAACCAGTCTCAAAAAACTTAATTATCCAAAGTATTTCATCTAATAGTTTTGTTCTTACTCTTTAACTTATTAAGTAAACCCTATTAGCATCACCTGAAAGGCAAACTTCAACCCAGCTAAAGTTCCGAGTGTCACAAATTATAAATGGGGTTTGAAAATACTGAGATTCTATAATAACTATCATCTATACAGACCTCTCTCTTATTTATCAATATAGGCTTATTAAAAACTGTAAAATTTGGAGTCACATGTTGAAAGCAAAATGGCTAACTAATGGGTGCAATTATGTATGTTTTGTGAACTACCACTGTGATTATAATTCAATCAGCAGAGTCTTCCTACCCCCATTTTGTTAGCTGCATGCAGTCTGAAGCTATAAGTCTTTCCAGGAAGAAGGTTGCTCACTGTACATTCTACTTCAGAACCTTGGTAAACTTCTCTGGGTTCATCTTTTTCTACAGGAGACATCTCCACACCATAGCAGAAAATGGGTGATCCACCATCAACCAGAGGGGGTCCTAAAGGTGGAAAGATTTATCCAATTTAACAAAAGGAATATATTTAGTACTAACTCAATTATAATTTATTACCAAAATGAAAATTACCCCATCGTAACTGTATTTCTTTTGCTTTGGGTCTACCCTGTAATCTGGGAGGGAGGCATGGGCCAGGAGGCACAGCTGGAGTCTGCACAAGTAAAGATTCAGATACCTGCCAAAACAAAAGCAATAACAAAACAAAAATGCCCCAACCGGAATGCTTTTGTTAAAGAAAAATAACACGAACACAAAGACCGCATCAATAATTTGAAATCCTACTTGACTATCAATTGAAAAGGAATAAAGTTCTAAATAAAATAAGAACCCAATTAAATCATTAAAACTCTGATTTTATATTAACAAATAAAGACACATATTATGTGACAACTATATACAAAGAAAGTTACCAGAAAAAAAGAACAAAAAACTCATCTTTCCATAATTGAAAAACAACAAAAAAATAACCTTCAACAAAACCTACTGGACTAATAAAGATTATTTTTGACCTCATCCAAATGGATCCACAAATCTCTTCTAAGGATGTTTTCATATTCTGTAAATACTGTTTGCCATGTTTTCAGAAGGTTTAGACTATTTTGGTTACTTTAACTGTATATTGTATTTTTAACCTAAATATTAATATACATATATGCATATAAAATCTTTCCTTTTTCTTTTCCACCTAAAAATAATTCAAAAATCAGGTTAACTTTTCCAAGTGCTTGGTATCTTTCCAGGTATTTGGTATTATCTTGGTTTTGATGTTATTTAAAAAATGTGTATCGTTTAGTTTTATTTTATTTATTTTTTTCAACTTTTTTTTTAAATTTTTTTTATTTTTGGGACAGAGAGAGACAGAGCATGAACGGGGGAGGGGCAGAGAGAGAGGGAGACACAGAATCGGAAACAGGCTCCAGGCTCCGAGCCATCAGCCCAGAGCCCGACGCGGGGCTCGAACTCACGGACCGTGAGATCGTGACCTGGCTGAAGTCGGACGCTTAACCGACTGCGCCACCCAGGCGCCCCGTTTAGTTTTATTTTAAAAGACTTCTTTTACAAACACTGACATGCACTCAGTACCATATCCTTAACTGCACTGTATTAAGGTTTACACTTAATATTCTTTACAAACATAAATATTTGGTCATCACCTTATTTAGAAAGGTATCCTATATGAGAATGCTATATTACTGTATTAGAAAATTAGGGTTGTTTTTGGGGTGGGATCTGTTCTTTCTAATCCTGGAAGATGTTCTTATTAGATACAGTGAAGCAATTGGATCCCAAGCCTGTTGGGTAGGACTTGCATGCAGTTTCCTAATACTTCCATTTTCAACAAAATGCTTATAAATTCATTTTTAAAAAAGGTAACTTCACTGCATTAAATTCCATTTGAAAAATAATGACAGTTACTAATGCTCCACGAACCCATTCTTAGTTAAATTCATTAAAAAAATACCATTCCTATTAAAAAAATTACCTCTCTAGAACATTACAAATATCTCATATATAATCAATGGCACACTTTAAGTCCATTTAGGTTAGTGATAAATTCTCTAGTAATAAAAATAATTGCCAACTTTCCTGAAATAAGTAATTACTAGAATCTGTGTTTAAACAGTAAATGATCATGGTTTGTCCTGATACACATAATTTATAGAGCAATCAGTCTACAATTATTTTATTTTTATTTCTGTTAGGTATGGCTATTGAACATCATCCTAAAATTTACCTTTATAAATTTTTCTGCAGTATTTTTGTATATCTGTTGTTGCAAAGCTAAACAACAACCAGACAATAGATATTCACTGAATACTGATTATAAGCCATGTACTATTTTAGAATATTTTGATCACTATAAGTTACAGAATATTCTGATCACTATAAATTAATCACCTAAATTACAGAAATTACTTTGGATACATTTTAATATTTGAGGTGGCATCTGGTGATTCCATCTTATTTGACCCAAACTTGAAAAAAAAAATCTAGATGTAAGTATTACCGCACTCTGTCCTCCATCACTGATGCAGTAAACTCGTAAACGATAGAAACAGCCTGGATTTAGTCGATCACAAAGATGTTCCCTAGTAGCTCCACTGTATATCATATCCCATTTGTTTCCTGGAAGGTGAAGAATTATGTTCAATCAGCTACGAGGTAATGTTTAACATTTGGGTATCATGGACACGGCAGGTATCCTAGCTTCACTAAGTAAGTGTTTATGTAATTTGTCAGAAACAATTTAAGCTTGTTTTGAGTTTCCTGGAAATGACCTAATTTTCTTTATGTGTGCAGCTTCCTAGACGAATCTGCATGGCTTTATTGAAATGAAATATCTCTGTAACTCTGTTACAGACTTTGGCTTACATTGATAATTTGCTTTTAATTAAGCATTTTAAATGTGTTTACTGGTCCAGTAATAACATTATAACACACAAAGAGTAGAAAGAACCAATACCACAGGAAGTTTAGTCTTAATTAAAAGACATTATTTTGCAGGAAGCAGTTCAATTCACAGAAATATGGATTGTTACATGTGTTATTCAAAAATTAAGTTCATGAGGCACAGAAAATATTACTAAAACTAGTATAATGTAAGTTAAATTTTAGAAGTTAATTTTTCTCTGACATGTCTGGTTATAAATCTAACTGAAAGTTTAGAAAACTTTAGATATACTGGAACTGAGCAAGGCAAACTCATGAGAAAGAAATAAACTAAAAAAATAAAAGTAATAATATAGGTATACAGCATTCTTACATTTGATTCACTCTATTTCTAGAGATTAGAACTTAAAGTGGATCATAACAGGCAAAATTCTAACTGCTATAAACAAAGGGAAAAAATTAAGAGTGAAAGAAAACAGATCATATAAAATGTACAGTCATGAAGAGTAGGGGCATACTGGTATAAATCTATTAATTTTTAATAGTTATTCTTACCATTAGAACCTTCTGCCATCTCCACTACATACTTATTAATGGTTGCACCTCCATTGTCTTTTGGTGGGTCTATCCAAAGAAGTAAAAGTGGTATTAGGCAAAATACATAGTTAAAAATGACAGAAAATCCTAGTAAGTGGAATACCACACCTAAGATTGCTTAAAAAATAAAAAGAATCACCCGCAGTGCTTTTTTTATTAATACCAGCATCTCATTAATCTATTGATTTTGCAACAAATAGTATATAAGGTGTTCAATAATAATTATTATTTTTTCAAGTTTTACTTATTTAAGGTTAGGTTTTCTCCATACCTAACATGGGGCTTGAATTGACGACCCCAAGATGAAAAGTCACACGCTCTTCTGCCCACCAGGCACCCTAACAAATGTTTGTTTTAAATGAGTAAAAGTGATTTTCATTTCTCAGGAGAGCCAGGATGACTCAGGTGACTTTAGCTACAATTTCAGTAATCATTCACTTCACACAGTGCCGTCTCTGCTCACAGTCCTACCACAGATTCCAAGTTCTTCTGTATCAAATATGAACTTTGTATTTGTGTGAGTGTAAAGTTTTCTACAAAAGAGATCCTCAAACAATGAATGATTCTCACATTTCCAATTAAACTTGCTTCAGCTAACAATTGTACTCAACTATCTTAAAAATTATCCTAATATTCAAATCATTACAATCAAATATAAAAGTAATGATGTACAAATACGCATATCTTACCCCAAGTTATTTTAAAACTGTGTGAATGTATCTTTCCTTTAACTGATGGCTTCACAGGTACACCTGGTTTATCAGGGCATGTAGTAAATTCTACTACTTCACTTGGGTTACTTTTACCTTCCGAGTTGTAAGCAATAACCTGTGATGAAAACACAAAGACATAAAATAATTGATATTTGATACCTAATGATATTGGCTTAATGAACAAAGTGATGACAGATAAGCTCAATCAAGTGATAAAGTAAAAGTTTTCAGACTGTGATGGCTTGTTTATATGAGAATGTCTACAACAGAGACTCAGCATATATGAAGAATATTCAGGTATAATCAATCCCCTTTGAGAGCCAGTTCTGGGGATACAGGTGTAAGTCTGTAACAGTTTGATATTAAACTAGAGTCATTACAGGAACAAGCTATAATCTGATGATACTTGATGAGCTTGATTTACGTATTCTTTTACTATTCTTTGGGTTTTAAAAAGATGGCCACAAATTCTTCGAATTTTCTTTATTCAAAAGATAAAGGCTAATTCCTCTTCCCTTTGAATTGCACTTAATGACTTGCCTCTAATACAATATAGCAGAAATCACAGTGTGTAGCTTTGCTACAGAGAAGCCCATCTGGTGAGGAACTGAAGCCTCTGACCAACAGTCAGAGAGGAAATGAAGGCTACCAACACTTGAGTGAACTTGGGAGCAAATCCTCCAACCCCAGACAAACCTTCAAGTGACTGCAGCCCTAGCTGGCATCTTGACTGCAACCTCACATAAACCCTCTATCAGAACCACCCAGCTAAGCTGGTCTTGAATTCCTGACCCCCAGGAACTGTGAGAAAATAAATGCCTGTTTTTTCAAGTTACTAAATTGTACAGCAATAGAATTCATAAGTATTTTTATATTTGACTTTAGAACTGTTAAGGTCTTTATAATTGGTAAATTATTAAAATTCTTAGAATTCTACTATCATGTAACACACACACAAAACCAAATTACATTCATACATACATATAGTTCCTAGCTCTGTCCATTGAGAGGATGCCCAGGAGTAGCAAAACCGTATAGCATTAAGTATACTTAGTACTCAGATATTGGCTTCTAAATACCACGGTCCACTAAAGGGACCCAGGTGCTTTGAGAAATGACCAATTCTGACATTGAAGGATTGGACACTGGAATATCATGTGCCAGAAAGGAAAGGCTCAAAAGAATGATGGGGGGGGGGGGGGGGGGGGGGCACATTTCAAAAGAATCTGAAAGGCAGCTCAAAGGAGCTCCCAAATTTGAAACAATGTGAGCCTCATAAATGATAATCATAGTAACAAAATACAACTCACTCAATTAACAGGAATTCATGAGTTCATACTGACATATATGATAAGAGAAAGCTTTTCTTTATAGTATGATGCCAACTGATAGATGTAGAAGGAATGATAAAATTAAAAGCACCACTTGGCAACCATTAATCATAGTAATAACTGATTCAGGCAAAAATTATCAATGGGTGTTAAAGCTAGTAGATGAAAGTGATGAAAAACAAAGTGTTCACACAGTATTTACAAAATACTTGTTAATTACAAAGGGAAAAAGAACAGCTTTGCAGTGAAGAAACACAGTAGATGTAATCTTTGACTACCAGTAACAGGACGAATGGAAACTGTGCACCGCTTGATATAATGTACCAAGAAAATAATAGCATTACTTTTTCTGATATCCCCTGACAAAAAAGCATATTTTGAATGTTTAACAACATCCACATTAAAAAAATTTTTTTAATGTTTATTTTTGAAAGAGAGAGAGAGAGAGGGAGAGAGAAAAAGAGAGAGGAGAGAGAAAGGGGAGGGGCAGAGAGAGATGGAGACACAGGGGCAGAGACGGAGACACAGAATCTGAAGCAGGCTCCAGGCTCTGAGATGTCAGCACAGAGCCCGATGTAAGGTTCGAACTCACGAGCTGTAAGATCATGACCTGAACCAGAGTTAGATGCTTAACCAACTGAGCCAAGCAGGTGCCCAACATCCACATTTAGATGTTTGTTCCCATTATACAAATAAAAGTCCCATAAAACATTAAAATTGTTTTGAATTTAAATATATATACAGTTTGATAACCAATGTTACATAGTAAGAAAGTAAAGCAGTAATGCTCATTATTTTAGATTTAAAACCAAAGGAGTGAGGTATGTACTTGGCTTTAGAACAATAGGAACAATAAGAACAAACAAATATTTTAAGGGCTTTCAAAGCTTACCTTAAATTTATACTTTGTACTACGTCTGAGATTCTTCACTGTGTAAGCAAGATCTTCTCCATCATATTTAGGCTTAAAACCATATCCCTGGAAAGGGAAAATAAGCCTCCCTTAGATATCTGACAGCAGAAATATGGGGAATAACAAACATGTAAAAAGATCTAGGTCTTCTTCATCTTCTGTTTACAATGTGATTAACACTCTGTTAAGTGTATTCCTCACTTTGGTACTTTTATCTTCAATGGACAAATCCAGAAATGCTAGTGAATGTTTGTAGCATGAAGGAGACCTCATTTCGAGTAAATACAGTAACCAAGAGACAATCTTCATGCTGAGGGTAAAGTCAGAGCCAATGGTGACTTCACCATAAGTAAGCATATGCCTAGAACTAACAGAATTTCCTAGACAGATGTTGCAAGAGCTAAAAAGAACTATATTTAAACTTGACCTACACACATAGGTGTGTTTAAGTAAATAAATGAATGGTTGGTTGTGCTGGCAGGTAGGGATGTCACTTAGGTTTTGGAATGCTATTTATAGCTTCAGTAACAATCCCTTACTACTTTCCCAATGTTATTTAAAATTTTTTAAGTTGATATATAGTTCACATGCTATAAAATTCCCATTTTGAAGTATGAAATTCAATCATTTATAGTATATTCACAAAGTTGTGCAACCATCATTAAATTCTTAATCCCACAATAAAGCCTGCACTTTATTTATTGGTTAGCAGTCACTTCCCTTCTTTTCTCATCCATTAGTATATTTTCTGTCTCTATGGATTTGCCTATATCCATAATAAATGGAATCACACAATATATGGTCTTTGTGACTAGGTTCTTTTACTTAACATAATGTTTTCAAGGTTCATTCATGTTGTGGCATGTGTCAGTACTCCATTCCTTTATATGGCTAATTGATATTCCACTGTATGGATATATCACATTTCTGCTTATCCATTCATCAGTTGATAGACATTTGGGTTGTTTCCACTTTTTGGCTATTATGAATAATGCTGCTGTGAACATTCATGTACAAATTTCTGTATAAACACTTGTTTTCAATTCTCTTGGGTATATAGCTGGGAGTGGATCATTGCTATTTTTGACTCATACTGCTTTAAAGTAGCTCTGAAAAGCTACGAAACTATGTAGAACTAATAGAAGACATCCTAACTCATGTTCAGCTTTGTTCTAGCTCATAAGAGACAAATCACTGGAAACTACATTCTGGCTGCACTATATAATCTTATAATCTCTCTTCAAATCTTCTCTGGCATTTGGGAAAGCAATGTATGAAAACAGCCGAAAAGATGGACACGTTATTTCCTTATTTTTTAGAGCTGCTTAGGCTAAAAGGCTGTGGTGATCTTTTCCTCTATTTTCCCTAAACATATATATTTAAAATGTAGTCTATGCTGTTCCTAGGCACAAACGTACATACAAACATACATAAAAAACAAAACCCGCTCCTATACATCAAGAAAACAAAAGACTGAATTCTTCCTCACTCTTCAATATTCCTCCTCAACAATAACCAACCAAGGATTCAAAGGATTTAGAGAAAGATCGAACTATTGTGGCACTATTTACTTACAAGTATTAATGCCACACTGAAATATGTTTTAAACACTCTTACTTAAAATACATATTCGTACTTACTGAAGTTTCTTCTTCCATCTCTAAAATGTAAGAAATTCCTTCATCTGATGGTGTTCCTGAGGGCTTACTCCATTGTAAGGATAACCAAGTAACACCAGCCTTAGTTAATACAGGACTTGCTGGCATAGAAGGGGCACAGCCTGAAGTGTAATAGAAGACTTCTTCACTAAAACCACTGTTGAAACAAATGGTTTTTAAAAATGAATGAATAAAAGTTTTTATAGCTAAAGAACTCATTTCTGATAAATGGAATTTTTTTTTGAAAGTGACAGTTTTTGATAACTAATTATAATCCAAGTAATATATCTTGGATCTGATAATATTTTTATGGTAACCAGATCAGATGCCTAAAAGGTGAGTTAACATTCTTTTAAAACTGCAATTTATGTAACTAACATATTCTCTTACAGCTTTTGCTAAGCTAGTAACAGATCTTTACCAACAGAGTGATATAAACTAAAGCATAATTTTTAGTGGATAATTTGGACTCTGAATAATTTATGTAAGTTGACTAAATAATATATTTACATTAAAATGTATCTTACCTTGTGCCATATTCATTTTTGGCTGACAGTCTAAATTTACAACCCATTGCTGGTGACAGTTTAGTAATTTTAAATTGCTTCTGTAAGCCCATGTAACATTGACAAAATTCTCCATTTCCTTTTCCCTAAAAAAAAAAAAAAAAAAAAAAAAAAAAAAAAAAAAAAAAAAAGGCTGATTATTACATATTTAAAAAATGGCTGGTTATTATATATCATGTATATTATTGTAAAAAGACATTCACATCAATTTGTCCTTGATGGACAGTAACATCAGCTAGTGTACATGATAAATCATCTTTGTTACATGACCATCATGGATCTCAAGAGAAAGTTGAGATAACACACATCTTTTTTTAATGTCTTTTTTTTTTTTTTTAATTTTAGAGAGAGCGAAAGCATGAATGGGAGAGAGGAAAGTATGCAGCTCAGGACAACTACAGAGTTTCAGAAATTTAGGATGTTACATAAAATGGACAAATTTCTTATTCTCTACCCATTTTTCTTCATTGTGTTGGTAGATTTAAAGGGTGGTTTTAGGGTGACTTCTGCTTCAAAGAAAACCTTCAGTCTGTATTTGGCTGCTTTACTACACTCTCCTGTTTTAATGGTGTACAGTTGATTCTATTAAGCTGTCTAAATAGAAAATTGTACCATCTGTAAATAATGATAATTTTGGCCCCCCCCCGCCGCCCTGCCACTATATGGCTGTACTTCTTGTTTTATTTAGTTCTAAATCATACTGCATTAATACTAAATAAAGGAGGGAACCAGCAACTTTTGACTTGTTTCTGCTTTGACTGAAATGCTTTAAAAAAATTTTTTTTAAATGTCTATTTTAGAGGGGCGCCTGGGTGGCGCAGTCGGTTGGCGTCCGACTTCAGCCAGGTCACGATCTCGCGGTCCGTGAGTTCGAGCCCCGCGTCGGGCTCTGGGCTGATGGCTCAGAGCCTGGAGCCTGTTTCCGATTCTGTGTCTCCCTCTCTCTCTGCCCCTTCCCCGTTCATGCTCTGTCTCTCTCTGTCCCAAATATAAATAAACGTTGAAAAAAAAAATTTTAAATGTCTATTTTAGAGAGAGAAAGAGTGCGCGTGCGAGCATGAGCGGGGGTGGGGCAGAGAGAGAGGGAACCACAGAATCAGAAGCAGGCTCCAGGATCTGAGCTGTCAGCACAGAGCCTGGCATGGGGCTCAAACTCATGAATCATGAGTCCATGACCTGAGCCAAAATCAGATGTTCAACTGACTGAGCCACACAGGTGCCCCTGAAATGCTTTTATTGTTTAGTGATGGTATTTCACTTGATACAAAAATAATTGTCAGTTAAGGAATTATCTTTCTATTCCTAATTTGAGTTTTAACTGAGGTAAGTGCTAAATTTTATCAAATACCTTTTCATAATTTATCAACATATGTATTTTCTTCTAAATTACTATGATGCAGTAATAGATTTCCTAATTCTAAATTCTTTTAAAACTTCTGGAATAAAAAACCTTTTAAAATGTAAAAATAAAACTTGTTTGTGCCTCATTACTCTTATAATATAGGCATATTATTTTAGTGCACCTCACTTTATTGAGCTTCACAGATACTGTTTTTTTACAAAATCTGGCTTGTGGCAACCCTGCATCCAACAAGTCTATTGGTGTCATTTTTCTAATAGCACTTGCTCACTTTGTGTCTCTGTGTCACATTTTGGTAATTCTTATAATATTTCAAATTTTCTCATTATTATTTGTTATAGTATGATTTAAAGGAAGAAGTCCAACTATAGACATTGACAGGAGTTCGGCAGAAGTTGATCCCAACCCTCGTGGATGACTTTGAGGTTTTTTTTTT